CCTCAGTAGATTGTATATTTGAGTTTTTAATTTGATGTGCTTGAAACCATTAAAAACTAATTTTATACAGATTTCTTTTTGTAAATGTGAGATTTTTACTAAGTTTGATTCTCTTCTAAATTGAAGAATACTCTGACATTGACTTTTCGAAAGACTTCATGGAAGGTAGAAAGAAAATAATGAAGAACATCGGCATCTGGAAGGAATTGAACTATTGTATAGGTGACTATATAAGTTGTTGCAAAATTCCCTGCCGAATCACCACATTTTCAATCAGTGGAGTAGCACAAAATAACTTTGAAATCAAAGATTTTTGTTTCAAAATGCATCCATCATTTATATGGCACTATTTCTTAACCACATAACCATATTATTCTGAACCTCTCCAAATGTCCTGCTGCTTCCGAATCTTGTGATTAGTTGCAAAGAATAAAAATGGTGTTTTTATTTTTGTTTGTCAGATTTAATATGTCGAACTTTTTCAATTTCACAATATTTATCTTTTTAGACCTTGATAATTATTCAAGAAACACTTTTGTTGTATATGTGTATCTGTATCACCCTGTATCGGGAATCCATATATTGGTATAAAAACCAGCTCTCTTTATATAACACGCTTTATATTATCCTATATAAGAACCATATTTCTCTGTACAATGATGCCTTAAAAACAGATCAGGAAGTTAGCTCAGCTGTAGTATAGCCTGATGAAACATTGAAATACAAGCTACCTCAAGCTACATACATATGCACAGCTACTCTTTGCAATACTACAGGCAGTATTATTCCTGAAGAATCATCCTGCTGATGAATTTTTGATTGTGTCAGACTCTGAGTGCTAGTGAGGTTTCATACAGACATTCCCCTAATTTTACTAATCGAAAAGTTAGGGAAAAAAGTAATGCTAATATGGGTTCCATCTCATATTGGAATCGCTGGCAATGGAAAAGCAGATACTGCAGCCAAAGAAGCAATAGATACGAAAAGATACATCAAAAATAGGATCATAGATACATAAGTCGCGCATTACAGATCTACTGAGTGGGAATATCTTCAAGACCATTTCCCCTGTAATGTCATGTAATGCAACGTAACGCTAATAATAGAGGAACCCAAGCGGGGATTTCGGGATTTACTAAAGTTCGGCAGATTAATATACAGGGGGATACCTTGTACCCGGTTAAGTACCTCCACCAAATATGAGCCCGATATATAAGGCCGCTTTTGAAGGATAAAGGAGCAGATTAGTAAAAAAAAATTGATCACCAGAAATTCTCGATCGCGTCAGATTAAGGTAGGGTGAGTTAATTACCTGCTAAAAAGTGTATATTCCTGTAATCTGACAATTTGAGAGGGCAGCAAAGTTGTAAAAAAATAACGTCATTTCGACATTCTCGAGCAAGCTTTTTTTTTTATTTTGAAGGAAATGATCCAAGGATAACGAAAAATATATAATCTGACGATTTCCGCAAGCCGAAATAACAAAAATTCGTCGATAAAGTTTAATGCGTGCAGCTGTGTGATACCTCAACAGTATTTTTTTACATATTTAAAAATCTATAGCCGCTTCCCCCACCGATGAAAAGGTATATATTATATAACATTTTTTTCTTCTTATCATCTAAGCTTTGCAATTTAATAAGTCTCAATGACGCTCGAGTAAATCCCCATTTTGCATCGTGGGCTCCCCTGCTATAATAACCCTTGTGGTTGATGTACTCATCTCAAAATAAAAAAAGATCATATCTGAAATTTGGGTCGTACCTACTTACTGAATGAAAGAAAGAAATGCTCGGGATTCAAAATACCAATCGAGCATCTTTTTAAAATATAAATTCATTTTTATTAGTTAGAGATTCGCACATTTTAATCCACTATTTACTGACACCTCAGAAAGAACTTTCACATATTTTGCCACAGTCAAGTTTTAGAAAAGGTTATTGTTGTGCAACAGCATTATTAGAGGTCGTAGATGACATAATCAAAGCAATAGATAAAAATTAAGCCACCATGTTGATTCTGTTGGATTATTCAAAAGTATTTGATACTATCGATCATAAAATACTTTGTGCTATGTTATATTTTTTTGGGTTCAGTGATGCATCAGTGATGTTGATATCATCTTATCTAGATAATAGATTACAAAAAGTACAGAATCATGATATTTCTTCTATTTGGATAGAAGTTAAAACAGGAGTACCCCAAGGCAGCATTTTAGGCCCACTGTTCTATACCCTCTATACTGCCACATTCATCAATAAGATGAAGTCTTCTAAATATCACCTTTATGCAGATAACTCTCAAATATATTTATCTTTCAAATCTTCAGATAAAGTTCAAGCAGTAACCGATATAAATTTTGATTTAAATACGATTTTAAAAGTGTCCACTGACCATATGTTGAAAATCAGTGGCTATTATTTTTGGAAGTGATAGCATCAGGTAAGAAGTAAAAAACTACAGCTTGAAAATGGGAAACTCTGAGATAAAATTCAGACCGTATTCAAAAAATTTGGGGTTGATTTAAGATCATAAACTAAGATTTCATGAACATATAATCTACAAAGTTAAAATTGTTTATTCATCATTGAAACTGATATATCCCCATAGACTGATCGATGCATTACATTTTTTTACGCTTAAGGTTGAGGTAGCGCAGGTAACAATCTCCAAGTTTGTCACAGAACGATGTTATGCGCATATATCTACCCTTCTTTTTTGTAATGCGGGGAGGGAGAAATACAATTCAATTCACCAAGCGTGCTTGCAACGTGTTCATTTTTAAAGCACCGGCTGTTAGTGGTAGACAGTAAACACCAGTTTGGTCGGAGTTATACTACGCGTAGAAAATAAGAATTTTGATTTGCAAACAGAATGAGTGGTTCCTGTCAAGTTGAAGTCCGTTTTGAATATTAATTGTGTAACATCTAAACTAGACACGTAGGTAAGTGAGCACGCTTTCCATTGACGTAATGTAAGTGTTACCTCCACGAAATTGAATTATACAGTTGAAATAACTACGATAAAACATTTTTAGTTTGATTCATGAGTGATTATTTTCAGCGGCTCGAGTTATTTCTTTCAAATTTTGAGCGCGAAAATCTTTTTCTATCATAGTTAATCATCAGCTAGCAAGCTCACTGACATGTGTACAATATTGGAAAAAAAACACATACTATTAATAACTAGAAGCTGTATCAGTCAGTCCTTTATCTCGTATCGTAACATCTATTTATCTGAACATTATATATTGCATCAGCCCGCTGGTAGCGTAATTTGAAACGTGGAACAGTTATTGCATCATACCCCGACATGCTTTCATGAATCAACTGCATTATTTGCGGGATGAACTCGTTTCGTACGTTACAACTTACAACTCGGATTCGTTAGGGATATACACGTGCTCGTCATCTGTTATCAGGATTTGATAATCAAGATCGCATTTTGATTCCAAGGAAATATTTTGTGTTTTCGCTGTCTCGCGTATTATTTTGTCTCTCATTTGTATTCGGTGGCGCCAGTTATAATGATGCAACGCTAAAAATAATTTGAATTGCCAGAATTCTATGTACGAGTGTAGTCATAAGTCCTACTTTTCTGTTAAAAAAAGTAACATATGAAGCTTCAAAGCGACAGATTGATGTTTAAATAATGACGATAATGAGTACTATTTATGTCATTTAAACCCCATATTGCAAATATGATTTCTCACTTCAATAAAAATCATATATTGTTCAATTGTTAGATCAATAATCGAATACAATTCCACTATTTGGTGCCCTTCATATCATGTGGATATTGATATGCTTGGAAGTGTTCAAAATAAGTTTTTAAGGTAATCTGCATATAAACTGTGATATTATATTGGTGAATATGACTATAAAATTATATTGGACATTCTTAACTTGAATACTCTGGCTCATAGAAGATTAGAATAAGATCTTACACTAATTCATAAAATAATCAGTGGTAGCATCAATTCCCCAGAATTTGTCGAACTTATAACTTTAAATGTGAATCCAAGGAGAACAAGAAATTCGGAAATCTTCAAAGTACCCTTTTGTCGCACCAACTTTGGCCAGAATGAATCTGTAGGTAGAATTTTGAAACTTGCAAATACATACATTGTAGATTTAGAATGTTTTAATTCCTCTTTAAAAACATTTGAACAGATAGTAATTCATAAACTTATTTTTACGATTTTTTTTATTTTATTTTATATATTTTACCCTTACACCTAGCTTAGATTACTGTTAAATACATATGTGTGAACTTGTTAATTATTTTGTTAAAAATATGCATTGGCGTAAATAAGTAAATGAATAAATAAACAAATATTTATTTTCCTCTTGATGAAATATAGCAGTCTATATTGAATATTTCAGATGAAAAGAAAAAATAAACACGCGTGCGATATGCATCTACCATACGCGTTATTTCTAGATATGTAGAAGAAAACTTTAAGCGTGAAATTAGGTATCTCATGTATTCATGTATGTTATTTTTGTACTCTCCTTCAAAAAATATATTTTTTTGGGAATTGTGCTAAAAAGCAGTCTAATTAATATTAAATTCTACAAAAAGGATTTGAAGCTTTATATCTTCTATTAATTATCTGCGAGCGCTTTCGACAGTTGGTAGTACTGTCATCTTCT